CACACTACACACACACACACACACACACACACACACACACACACACACACACACACACACACACACACCACACACACACACACACACACACACACACACCACACACACACACACACACACACACACCACACACACACACACACACACACACACACACACACACACACACACACACACACACACACACACACACACACACACACACACACACACACACAGAGTTTTGATTGAGACAAATCCCACTAAGTTTAGATTTTTTGTGGGAACCCGTAGTGGTTAGAAAACAAGAACCCTCCATTACACGTGTTGAGCAATATCCTCTGTATATAAATACAAGCACATTTCTGGTTGATATTTTTAGCTGTGTGGAGTTAGGCCAATCTGAGTTAAACTGAATATTGGACAGAACACATTTGGTTTGGTCGCGTAAATTGTAGCAGGAAAACCTCAATGTTCAATCACATAATCGTATACTGAGTCTGGGTGAGCGAGACAGTGAATGAGAGGGAGAAAGAGAGACCACGAGAGCCGTCTTTTCAGATGGAAATCGCATGGTTTCTGAACTCCCCTGGCATCCAAACAAGTAAAACTGTTTTCTTTGGCAAACGCTCAGCATCTCTCTCACTCTTTCCCTCCCTCTTTCTCTCTGTCCCTCACTCTCTGCAGAACCCACACTCCTCTCATGCACACGCCCCATCCTCCCCTCCCTACTCTAATTTCGAAACTCAAACTACCTCCTTTAACCACAAACACACTTTGAAAAAGCAGTAATATCAGTTAAAGTGTTCCCCTAATGTAAGAAATGACCACAGCAAAACAATGAGTAGAAGAGAACCCAAAAGATTCTGAAGCCATGTTGCTTTACCTAAAGAAAAACAATCATTTGAGCTTCGCTTCGGGGCTCTTTTTGCTCAGGATGGGAAGTCTTTGGGTCTGTTCCATGTCTGAGTTGGCTGAAGCACGCGGCTCTGAGTGTGGAGCACATGGTTGGCTCAGTACTGTGAACGGCATGCTCTAAAACTCACTGATAAACAATCAATTGAACAACAATAACAACCAGTTATGTTTTGGCATCAAATTAGATTATGAAGTCCGTCACACAAGCTTTAATATTCCCTTTTTCAAAATAGCATCCACTTCCATAACTCTGGATAAATGTGGTTTCATGCTAAAAAAAAAGGGATGGCTGACTGCTGGTGGTTCGAAGAGGAGATTTGAATCCTCAGATCTGTAGTTTTGAGGTTTTGTGATAATAAGCAGAGCACTCTCTTGAGTTCCCCTTCGGTTGTACTTCACTTCCCCTGCTAGCAATTAGTCTCCAGAATGCTATTTGTCAAAAGCCAAGCCATTTCGTTTCCACTGGTCTGCCCCCTCCAGCTCTAGTTACAATTGACTGTTTCCTGTATAGAGAAAACTCTTAGGAGGAAGGAGCAGCTGGCTAAACCAGAAAGTGAGTATAGAAGTCTGAATAGAGAGAATAAGACAATAAACAATAGTGTAAACAAATCACATATCTGTCACAGGGATCAATTCCTGCCTCATTATTTCACGACACAGCACATTTTGAAACATTTCACAAAGGAAACCATTGCTTTTGGACGATTGGGAGTTGGGGCAATGCAGAAAATCGGTCAATCATGGAACGACGGCTATTGATTTTCCGAGCAAGATCTGATGAAATGCGGGTGGAGTAAAAGTGCTGTAAACAAATACGACGAAGGAGGTTACTCGATAAAGTAATGAGAGCTGGACTGGCTGTCAGAGCCGTAAAATGTAGCTTCACAAAACCCCCGAGGTGTAACATCTTAATGGAACATTGTCATTTTCCCCTCTATTTTCCCAATGATTGCAGACGAGACAGCGGGTACTTCAGTGACTCCCAGTGAGGTAGGGACCTATTGTATCTGGGTTGTAAGGGACCTGGAGAGCCATCAAACAGCCAGACGTTTTCATGGTAAATCACCAGCAGAGAGGGAACTTCTGAGAGTGCAATTAACAACCTCAAGGTCAGACTCCTCTGGAGAGTTCGAAAAAAAAAAATCCTCAGGCTTTCTCTCTCTTTCTTCTCCCTTGCTGTTATACTCTGAGCTATAGACTCATACACATGCTCCCTCCATCTTTACCCTCTTGACCTCGTGTTACTCCCTCCACCAGCGCTCCAAGCCTCCTCCCTCTCCCGTTCACCCTCCTTGTCTCCATTACGGATAAACGTTACTCTGTGGTCGGGGGCGACACCATTTCTCCCCCCCGTGCCAGAGATGGGATGAAAATCGGTCGCAGGTGTACAGGATGAGAGATATGGGTCTTAATCTGAAGGCAATACTGCCGCTGTGCACTGAGAAGGTCACTATAGGGATATTTGAGAAAGGAGCTCGGGGTTTACTTGCTCTTAAAACATGGTGAGAATTAACTTTTCCATGTTCCTGATTATGTGAGCACACTTGGGCAAATTGGGCTAAACGTTTTCTTTTTCAAGTCTTGTTTTACAAGGGGTTTGATTTAGTACTTGACAAAGCACAATAGATCATTGGAGTTTGAGCACCAGGCTTTGAAGTGCTACACAAAATAATGAGATGTCAAGCACAGGCTGTTGGCCAGAAATAGGACTCCTTATTAACACATAACTATGACTTTAAGAAGAGATGAAGTGGCTGAACTTTAACTATGAATATATTTGAAAGAATGTCAAATGTAATAGAGTTACGTTGAGCTCTTAATGTCTACAGAAACCTGAAGACATTTTTTATTACTGAAACTAAAGGGGGCACACTTACAAACTCTGTACTTTGATCGTGATTAAAACAGATAAGTGCCGTCCAAGATGTTTTTAATTGTTGCAAGGGCATTTATGTTACACATAACCTCAACATACCTTTTCTTTCTTACGTGGCAAGAGATGACTCAATGCCTCAGGTAGACCGACAAAGGAGAAAAGCGTGTGTAGGCAGAGCGCACCATTGAAACACTGACAGTTTCTCAGCTGGAATTCCACACCATAGAATGTTTCCAAAAGCTTTGGCTGTTTTCTTATAATGCTGTTAGTTTAGGTACAGGATAACAATCCGAAATTTAAATTAATTTTTTTCCCTGGTTGTTTGTGTTGGGGGTTTTGGCTGGCAACTCTCACACTAATGACATTTAATAAAAAAATGAAAACAAAAAAGAACCTGGCACTTTGCTGTTGGGATTTTGTCGAGAGAGACCACTTAAGTGTTTCTGAAATATTGTGTGTGTGCCTGTTAATAAGTGGGAATATGTCAAGGGTTTTAAAGGTTGTTTGTCCTATGCTGCATTTAATTGGATTCAGGCAGACACCGGACAATGTGTTAGTGAGAGGGAATATAAGTTGAGTCCGGCAGAGAATACCGCCACCGTTAACGGTAAATGTATTGTTGTTCAAAATAACTTTTAACTTTGGAGCAGCAACATCCAAATGATATGACCAGCGCTTGAAATCCAACCAAGCTATTGCAAGTAGCTACATGCACTAAACATGAAATCATTTTATTGAATATATTTTATTCCATTCTTTAAAACATATATTTGATCACCATAGCAACATGTCGTAAGGCATGTTTCTTCATCTGACCTGATCTATAAGGCTTTCTTGGTGTCAGGTGGTCTCATTAGGAGGATAAATAGGAACTTGCTTTATAAAGTGATCGTCCCTGAGCCGAGGCAACAAGCTGAACTTGTGCAAGGGCAGTGACATGATCAATAAGCCATTCCACAATAACCATATAAATATCAATATTATGGCAATCCCCATGCAAGGATCTAATTAGAGTGGGACTGGTGTAAAACTTCTGTCTAATCCATGTGATGGATTCAATTTAAAAAGAGATTCTTTACTCTTAATGGGAACCAAGAGAGGGTCAAATCAATGATTCATAAGTAAATAACTATTAAATGTGAAGCAGGGCTCAGGATTTGGTGATAAAGCTGCTCAAATGGGGGGATTTTACTGTACTTTACAGCAAGTAGACATCGATTAGACTCCTCCAGCAGCATCAGGATAAGTAATAGGGAGTGATGTTCGATACCAGCACGGAGCTTTACAAGGTATCAGTGTTTCTCATTTAATAGTGAAAAGAGTGCTGTTTCTTTATTATATGGCTCTTTGCTGCCTTGGACTGCTTCCTATTAATGTTTAATTGCCCCATGTGGACGAGCTTCAGTGTGGAATATGCTGACCAGTTTACAATAACATTTGTGTGTGTCTGTGTGTGTGTGTGTGTGTATGGTCTGAAGAGACTCGCTTAACGCGTGAGAATATAGCTCATGCATTATAACATAATAACTGTTTGTATTGGGTTTGGTTTACATGAAAACGATAGCTGTTCTCCCACACACATATCAATTATAATTCTTAGTGTGTCTTTTTTGGCTATAGGGCTACAGTTTGTCTCACTGTTTTTGTTACAGAGCAGGAAAGACATGCTAGAGGCTAGCGAGGCAAGTTACTATATTGGTTGAATCTCATGGCCTTGAGTTTACAATTTAGGAAACCACCAGAGGCATGCCATTTAAATAACCATAACCATAATTGCCTCAGCCAGCAAAGGAAACAGCATATGATTCCTCTGAACATTTACATTCTGCAGAAAACCCCTCAATATTTAGGACAGGGACACGACCTACTACATTTCGGAATAACAATATATCCATTCCAACATACGGACATCACTGATGTGCAGAGTCAAATGTACAGTGGCATATGATTAAATATATATGGAATGGAATAAAAGTGGCTTCCTGTCAAATTACATTGCATTCTCTGATACAAATGGCTTCAAGGATGACACAAAAAGATGGGATGTCAGACCATATAAACTCTGTTCTATTTACGAGATGACATGTCTATGTCGTAAACCTTCAGTGAACTTTGCATGTGTGATCCCAAGCCAAACTCCCTCAAAGTCAGGAATCAGACTCTCAGTGTCAGAGAACTGCCATGCTTGTTAACGTGCACGCGCTCACACACAGGCACACTGGCCTACCTGGCATGAGGGACATCGATGCTGGAGGACACCACTTTGCGTTTCTGCTCCAGCAGGGACACTGATCGGGTGTCGGGGTCCCGGCCAACGCGCTTTCCGTCCGCCATCCGCTGATCCTCCACTGCCTCGGGGCTGAGGGAGCCGCCCTCACCCTGGTGACTCTCTGGAGCTCCGTTACTGAAGCAGTGCTGGAGAGGGATGCAAAGAGTAGAGAGTCAGTACTTGGGCAGAGACCTGTCTTCAGTTCTTATGATGAAGCTGATCTAGGAATTTACCATGAGAAACACATTTTCTGAATTGAAAAATGCCTTATTTTGTAACGCCCGACGTGATAACCATGCCGTGCATTTCTGCTGCAGTTAAGAGAGACTGAGAAATACTGCCCAAATATTACTAAACTGCATGAAAACAATAGATGTATCATTTTCAACACAGTAGCCATTTGGGGGTTGTGCTCTCAGTGTTCTAAGCGTATGAGCCACATTTTAAGATTTTATTCTTTACATTTCAAACGAAGGAGTACACTGTCCAACATTTTCAAGCATTTTGGGCCTAAAAAAAGCTTTTCCAAAATAGATTGGATTCACTCGAAAATGCAGATGTCAGCTAAAACAAGGTTTTTTTCTTAATTCCTAGACGTCTTGGATATGGCAAGATACTGTTGGCAATTCTCATAAAACTCCATTCTCATAAAAAAACAAAAAATGAAATGGCATCCTTAACTTTAGCTCAATATAAGCTACAGGACATACAGCCAATCTGGTTTGTAAATTACAAATACAATGTAATAAAGTTCAAGGTAATGATGTTAAAAGGGGGGAGCAAGAACTTTTAACTTATAATAATATAAACACAAACATACTTATACACAAAACTAAATATTTCTGCGCCACACACACTGAGCAACATAAACTACTCCATGACACACACACACACTCAATCACGATATATCATCATTTCTCCCATCTGAAAACGCCCACCTGTAGCAATGTAAAAAAACAGCCCAAAATCATCTCTTCTTCTTACACAACAGCAGCAAATGGCCTGTTTTGGCACATGAATACCTGCATGCACCTACACACACACCAACGCACACATTACTGTAGGTAACTAAAGCCATCAGGCTCCTCGAAACACACTGAGAAAACAGCCAGTGACACACACGGCTGCCCATGCCACTAGAGCGTTGAGGAGTAAGACATGCAGACCAGTGTGTGTGTGTGTGTGTGTGTGTGTGTGTGTGTGTGTGTGTGTGTGTGTGTGTGTGTGTGTGTGTGTGAAGATCATTATCTCGTAGCACTGTAACACGATTAGGGTTGACGGTGGAAAAGGCAGCGGCACCCTAGTGCATAACTCGCACACATATGTACAGGAGAACTATTTACTTCGATTAATGACGTAAAAAAGCAGGGGATGGAGTATCACTCATAGAGACCGGTCACACCAACAATACGCTCCGTGAAAACACAGACTTGAGTAAAACAACAAGATGGATTACAGCAGCTCGGGAAGATTAGGCGTTGTGTGTATGTCGAGTGTACTTCTCGGATAGAACCAACAGCAATTCCTTCCTTTCACCAGGCTTATGAATGATGGCATTTCACGGAGCCAGGAAATTGTGAGGCATGCCAAATCGGTTGTGAAATGTGAGGCGCATGTGTGAGGCTGCTGGTGTAAATGTGCATGTGTGTGTGTGTGTGTGTGTGTGTGCACGTACCGAAAAATACCCCGAGTGTCCTTCATATCTGCCCTCTTTATCTCTAATTCATTTTCTTTCTTCAAATCACAACAAAACACACACAGACATGCACACACACACAGAATCTCATAACCTACTTGCTTTAGGCCGTTTTGGACAGTTTAAAGCGGCCACCCTTTATGGGTCAAAGGTCATAATGAAGCAGGCTGACACGGATCATAAATTGAATCCCATGTGGCGACATTGTCTTTGAGCTCATATGGTTCTTTGTTGGTACGAAGAATTTGTATCCGCTATTCTTTTGCCAATACTAGGATTAGGAATCAATAAAGTCTTAAAGACATTAATGAAGATTATATGTTCAAACATTACACATGACTTAGTCTAGGTCAGATTTGTTGTTTATATATCGGAATTGCGAGTTGAAGAGTTGCAATTTTTATTTAAACTTACATAACAACTTTTGGTGCCAAATGTACTCAGCTCAGCTAATATGCTAATGAACATTGATTTCATGAGTTCCCCAAAGAAAAGTACCATAGAATGATTATGTCATTTTATGAAGCAATATTAAGTATTCTACTTATGTATTATCTTTAGGGCTGACACCATTTTGTATTATTGATTAATATGCCTGTTATTTCAAGATGTTATCAATGTATTATTTGGCGTATAATATGTAAACAAATTGGGAAAAATCTGTTTCCTATTGTTTAACGTGACGTTTTTAGATGTTTGTTTTGTCAGTCCGGAATACAAAACCAATTCAGTTTAACACTGTGTAAAACAGAGGATACCATGAAAGATGGTATAGTGAAAACTGCATTTTCTTCATTAAAGATTACTAAGGATTAATTGTTTATGAAAATAGTTAGCACATATTAATAATATTGCAGGACTTTGACAACTAGCAACTCCATTATTCCATCTGATGTTTTAAAGTTAAATTAAAAACCATTTCAGAATCAGAATCAGAATACCTTTATTAGTCCCATGGAGGGGAAATGTGCGTAGTTACAGCAGGAAAAAGAGCCACTGACAGCTTAATGTTGCATATGTTAAATATGTGACATGCATTTAAAAAAAAGTACTACGTTATGATATAATTAAAAATATATATATAATAACAAATAAAAAGTTACATAATTTAAAAAAAATACACATCCTGTGATAAATTGAAAGTGCAATGTCTGTCAGAACAATAAAAAAAACGTTTGATTCAGCCATTACTCTTGGTGTTAGAAAGCAAGTTATTCTGCGTGCAGTACTAAAATATGACTATATTTTTTTATTCAATGAGGGAGGAACATAGATGAAATAAGATAAAAGGCATTGAGAAAGCGGGAATAAAGATGTGTGTTCATAGCACTCTCACACATACATAAACACAAACACCTCCTCTACCCTTAGATTACTCATACATCAGCACAGGAGACTTGCGGACTTGACCCTGTGGCCGTTGCGCTTCATGCTGATGCTGTTCAGCCAACCAATAAGCTCAGCCGACGCCGGCTTGCCCGTCTAGGATCACCGCTCTAGAACAAAGAGTCACTCAGCTCCTGTCAACAAGCCTTCTTCATTGACTCCCACGTTGCCGTACGATTAACGTAAACAACAGCAAGGACAACAAAAGCGTCCAGCAAAACAAAAACAAGTTTCGCCTCTTTGTTATCAGTGAGGCATCTGTGTAACATTTCTCAGACACTTGCACAAACCAACAAGTGGCATCCTGTCCCTCTTAGAACAGGGGGGGGCATTTGTTTGCCATACCGGGCAATGTGCCAAGCATCCAGATTCTTTGGAGCATGCCACCCGTTGTCAACCTGGGGGTGCCTGCATTATTGTCCGTACAGCTGTTGCTCAAACAGGGCGGCATGCCCACAAAAACAACCCCAACTCCAAAATCTAAAGTAGTCAGCCCTACCTGATTAAACATTCAAATACATAGGGGGGAAGCACATCAATGCACATTAAAAGCCACACAGATGCACATGTGAATACACACCCGCCCCTCCTCCTCATTTTATGGCTTGTTTTCTACCTCAGTGGGAATTAAGTGCTGAAAGAGACTTGACCATTGTGCTGGCTTCACTCTCCGCGTCAGCTGCACTCCTCCTGCCTGCACCAGGGACTTTATTGACGGTATTGTGCAACAGCTTTTGTGAGTGCAGCACAGAATACACAAAAATGTGCAAATGACAAAACAATAGAACCCAAGTTTAGACTGCATATCCCATCACTCAAAGCTATGACATGTGTCCATATGGACAGAGCTGTTGCATTTGTCTTTGTTTTACCATGAACACTTTAAAGATGAACTACTATTTCATTTAGGATTGATGTCAGAGTTGCTGCTGTATCTGTAGATGCACACCCTCCCTATAGCTCACATAAAGGAAATGTGAGCAGTCCAGCATGTGTGGTCACAAAGAGCAGCCTGTAAGTTCATCAATAACACACATGAATGCAAGGAGGCACAACACCACACCAAAACTAAATAAACCAAAATGCATCCGTAAACAAGCCATGATTTGGTCACATGCATTCCTCAGTAACTGCCTCACTGTAAAAAACAAAACACACACACACTACACTCACACCCATACACAAACACTACACACATGCCAGAAACAGTGTTTTTATTCCTGGATTGCCTCACACAATGTTTTTCTGAGAGAGTATGTGACACCAAAGCAGACAAGTTGGAAATGAAGGCAATTAGGTCACTGCTAATTAGGAACCCATATCAGGAATTTTTTTTAGACATCATCAAAACTTCAAATTCTGTCTCTAATTTCAAAGCCAACTCTATCTATTTTTAACAGGTGTTAAAGAATAATAACTCTGGTGTGCACAAAGCCATATATATTCAACTTGGTGACAAGCTGCATCATATTTGAATGAAAATGTCAAAAATATCATAAATATTTGAATGCAAACGTGCAATTAAATGCATGATTTCCCAAATTGTCTGCATTAAATGTTATATATAAATCATAAGCCTCTGTGCAAAAGCCCCGGACATCAGTCCAAAACGCTGCAGTCAGAGCGTGTTTGTTTGCCTCGGCTTACCCACCCACTAGCCCACATAAACATTGCGCAGGCCCTATCAAGGCCTTTGTCCCATATCTCTGGTGTCGCCAAATGTCATGACAGTCCGTTATTTGATGCAATATGCAACTGATTTTGCATAATTTACATTCTGAATCATGCTGTTTTTGTCCAAACTGGTTATATTTGACATCAGTGAAAGCAGCAGCAGCGCCAGTGACACCGTTATCCGCTCCGTGCAGGAAGCGGTTAATGCTGCAAAAAAAAAACGCACAACAAAAACAGTGAAGGCGCTTTTTTGCCGGCCGGGGCGCTACTCACACACCTTCAAGCTGGACTTGAGCGGTCCTTTGGCTGCAGTGTTGTTGAAGCCCGCGGCTATCTCTTCCTCGGAGAACTCCTTGAGGCTCCCGTCCTGCAGGAGCACGGTGTAGACGCTGCACCGGGATCCTGCGGTCGACACGTCTCTGTTTTCCTGCTTGACAGCCTGGACCACTCCTGTCACCGGGGCACCGTCCCCCGTCGGACTCGGCGCATAAACACGGCTGCCGAGGATCGACCGCTTCACCAAACGCCTCGTATGCATGTTTAAAAGTGTCCCACTGAATTCGGAGCCGGTGAACCGGTGAATTTAAAGCATGAGACGTCGAATTATAACCGGTAAACAACGTCGAGAAAAACACGAAACCGCAACTGGTATACTATCCAACAGCCCTGGTAAAATGTTAGAAAGCGGCCACATACTCAGAGGGCGAAGACTCTCAACAGCGTCTTAAATGCACCTTACTCAAAAGCACCGAAAACTGTAAGAGAACTTAGAATTAGCACCCGACAAAAGCCGACAACACAACACGATTCATTCGCCGTTAAACAACCTCCACAGCCAACCGGCTACCAACCTTCCTCTCTTCGACCTGTTTGTTTTCCCCACTGCTCAGTCCCTGCGAGCTCGTGGTGTGGCGGGAAAACACGGACTCAAAACTCCACGCAGGACACGACGTTACGTTTGTACACGATTTAACAAATATGTGGTTTATTCGTGAATTTACGACATGGACACTGAATAACAGAAGCAAACACATCGAATACAATCCCTTCTCCGTAGCCTTATCCACTGACTTTCTTACGTAGATGCTGTTACCGGTCGAAAACACGGCGGTTACGTGACTCCGGATCCGGCTACTGTGAGCTCCAGTCCGGGCTTTGCTCCGACCGAGCAGAGCCTTTACCGGCGGAATGCTGCCTGTAAACATGTGCGGTCCGGCGGCCAAGGCGGGCTGCTATTGGTCGATACAGCACACGCCTCCACAGGCCCCCCCACCGCTCCCCCCGATCCGCCAACAGAAGGTAATGCAAGCCGGGAGGATGCTCAATTCAAAACAATGACGCAAGGATGGAGAGGAAACGAGAGGGGAGGCGGTAAGACAGAAGGAAAGAAAGGGAAAAAAGGGGAATTTAGGCTTTCGGAAAGGAAAACTTTGACCAGACAGACAGGCTTTATGCAGTAACCTAGTTGTGAAACGCATGTAGCCTACTTTTCAAGTCCCATGGGATTTCTAAATTATTATGATCTGGTTTTGGGATATAAGTAATGGCCTGCAGTGGGATCTTCGAGGGGAGTTTAAAACAACAGGTTTATTTATTTCTCATGAGGTCGTCATTACCTAACAAGTGAGTTTTATTCTACTCAAGGTCCTGGGTGTAAACATGTGCCAAAATCCACCGCCCTGCACATTTACACAGGCAAGAGCCAACCAAATCTTTGCCAACCCCATCAGATAATTTAGACAAACAATGCTTTAAAGTGCTTGAAGCAAAAATGTATCAAATGCAAATGTATAATGTGGAGGTCAATCTTTCCAGATGTACTGTTTATCTTATTTCAATCTTTTTTTGAACAGGCACACTCTGAAGACTAATTATAATATGTAGACCTGTTGTTGGCTACCTTGTTTGTATGTTCTCATTAATATACCATTACGTGTAAACTGTAATACATGTATTTAATGCCATTGGGTAATGCTAAATATAAGCCATCAGTAATATTGCTCTTTTAACTGAGCTTTTCATCTCATCACAACAACACTCACAGGCAGCTCACACTAATGTAAGCTACACCCTGGACACATTAAGAAATAGTGTGATCTCACAACGTGACCTATTTTTTTTTTGCTCTCCGAGACAGACATGTATATGTTATGGAAATGTTTCTTCTCATTAGAAAGTTCAGTGTTCAGTAAGTGATGAATCAAATTTAGCAGGAGACTAATTATTTCATCCTGATCATTTCCCATTGTGGCAGAGAGAATACAAACCCATGTTACTTACAAATGGCCTCATTAATGTCAACTGTAATCTTTTAAGAAAATCATATGCAGCCTACAATCTTTCTACATGACAGCGCCCCCATTGAATAAAGGACACAATGACACTTTTTATTATATATATATATTTTAATAGAACAATTCATGTCATAAAATATTTACATGCAGAAAATGGACAGAGGGGAGTGACAGATATGAACATCATTTTTCAAAACAGACTGTGCCCTGTGGTCAAAGGCAGGTGTAACTATACAGTCGTCTGATGGTTGCAGGGGAAAAAATGATCTCATTACGGGAGTAGTCGAGAGGAGGGAGAGGCAGCAGGGGGGCATCTCTGAACCTCCACCACTCCCCAATTCCCTGAAGGGAGTGTCTCTGTGTTTGTAGGACCAAGATAGACAGCAAGAGAAAATGAGTGATTTTAGTTAATTGTCTATTAAGCCTGAGTGCGTATGTGTGTGTGTTGCCCTAGTATGATTTGGCTCTAAAACCCCCCTTTGACAGATAATTTCCTTTTAAGGTCATTCATAGCATTTTGTGAATTTCATTATATCTCACCCTCATACACAGCCAAATCACTTGGTATGAAGATCATACTCCATTTTGGGAGTGTTAATGGCATGATAATTATAATTTTTTTACGGGCTTCATTCACTCATTTTCATGTGATTTGCATTTTAAATCATCTTTAACTGTAGCATTGCTATAGGGATGTTAAAGCATTTCCCATTTCTGATATAACGTATTAATCCAATATCAGTCTGGGTGGGCTAGCTGTCTGTCCAAACCACAAACAAGCTCTTACATGTATAATAAAACATGAACTAAATCTGCAGATGCTTTAATGTTTTAATATTTTCATTCGGGTGGAAACAGACGACACCAATTATTTTCTGCAAAGACGGAAGATACTGTAGCAGTAAAATAGATATTTACAGCAAAGAAAAATTGGCCCTGTTAAATTTGAAAACAAACACCAAACAACAGTTATGACACATTAATTCATTTTTTTAAATAAAGTACCACACTCACTGTTTCTCAAAATGCATGTACCAAAACATTGTACCATATTTATCATATTCGATTGGTTACTACTTCTCAACACTCAGAAGCTATTTGGCAAATTGAGTTACTATAAGATAAAAAAAAAGCCTTTGTTTTCCTTTAAACAAGGCAGACATCGATCAGTGCTCTTAACAGACTTATTTCAAAAATAATAACACTCTGGACATTGTACAAATAGGTAAAAACTCACATAAAACATCCAGCGAATAACAGTTGGTTAAAATAGTGCTCTAAATATATACAAGCCTTGGTTGGCATGTCGTCAGTACAAGCTACAAACAGAAAGATATGTTTTTTTTTTATCATAGTGCTACTTAGTTAAAAAGCTTTAGATATTCAAATTGTGCAGAATGTAGCAAGATTGTGATGATGCTTTTGAATATATAAATGCAGTACCATGATATTAAACCTTGTGCTTAAAATCATCAGGGATGCCAACTGAAGGCTGTATACTGTACCAAGAGCAGGCTCAATAGACTAACAAAACAGTACAGTTGATCAATACATTTGCATCAATAAAGCACGTTTTTGTGTCATTTTAAAAACTCTTTTCAATTCGTTTTGAGCCTTGTGCAAAATGACAAAAAATGAAATATCTACTCATCATACGTATTGTTTTAAAAAGAAAGATTCCTTCAAAACAAAGAAGTCGGGGTCAAATGTACCTTTACAACTGTTGTGACTTTACAACCTCCTTTCATCTAATATCATTCAAAATTCTAGAAACTTCCAGAAAACCCTTTTTTACTTTGCGCTCCCAGACTCTGTAACATTTCACAATCACACAACAATACGCATCTTCAAATAAATATGAAATTCACACAAAAAAGGTTGCCATTGGCTGGGATACGTCTAAAATGCTTTCAAATATGTATCGGGACACCTCAAGCTCATTTGAGATCACTTTCCTTTCCTCATCAAAAAGTCTTCATTTCTATTGAGTGCCGTAATCTATGGACTTGTTTTAACTAACCATGTGGTCACAGATACTTCTGGCTTTTGCTTTGAATGCCTAAAACATGAATTTCAAGCAGAGAATGCAAAGCTGCTGAACCTGACAAAGAATAGAAACACGTCTGACACCTCAATATAACATGACACTGAGTCACCTAGAAGAAAGCCGCTAGCAGCTGCAGAGGAGAAACCATGATGCCTTCATATGTACAGTAAGTGCATGACTTTTCATGATTATATGGCACTGAATTATTGGATTTCTTTTTGTTATATCACAGGCACTGATAGTGTCCTCTTCCTATCCTTAAAAAAAACATGTGTGTGTTGTGATTTGATATTCATTTGATATTTTCACACAAATGTGGTTTAATGTGCCCACGATATGCACTGTCAGAAAGACAAAAGATGAATTCAATGATGCACTCATCCACATGATTAACAACCGATGACTGAGGCACTACTGTTAATTTCCTATGAGGCCTACCAGTACCAATGACATTCACCGTGGCTGATACATTAAAAGTTCACTTGTGATAAACCGTACCCGAGCTGTAAAGAGGACGCTGATGTATTGTTGATGGATGCTGTGGTGCACCATTGTCTGCCATTTCCCCCAGAGCATGCACCAGTAGCATGCTTCGTAGCAGGTTCAAAGCACTGCAGTGACGTCTGTGAGGAAGTTTCTCCCACGGTGAAGAGGGGGAAAACTTAGAGGCGGGACGTTTCCCGGCTTAGCCCCATCTCTCCGACACTCTCGTAGTCAGGCTCTGGCTGTGCAGCGTCTGAACCATCCGCCCTGTGGTCATCATCCGAGCTACTAGTCTTTGGGATGCGGATGGTTTCGTAGCCAGGGTCTGTGCTGTCCATGCCGGGGTCTTCATCCTGCTCGGGCTCATCGGGCTGGGCGTAGATATCTCGGACATTGGCGTAGAGGTCACTGGAGGAAGAGGCGGGGACGAGACCTTTGAGCTCTGCGATGCTGCTGTAGTCGTGCTCTTTGTCTTCCTCGCTCACACTTTCGTCACAGTTTGTTTTGTCGACTGTGGAGTACACCGCTGACTGAAAGACAAAGAATAGATACCTGTGAGTTGCCCCTACTTTGTAAAAAAATTGCCATACCTAATTTATTGAGATAACAGGAATGTGGACATAAAATAAACTGATGCTTTTGTACCAAAAACATCCCCGCTAGGTTTTCCCCTCATAGCGTATTGTCTGATGTTGCATGACTCTTTAACCAGTGTTTTTTTGTTTTTCTTTCATCTTTTTGGTGCTTGGAGAATTCACAGCTGTCTCGGGAGAGGAGACGGCAGTTTTGGGAATAAGGGAGTGAAACACACACTTACCTCATTGTCTGACAGGTTGTGGTTGCTGAACCCAGGCTCAGGAGAGAGAGGGGATTGTAACTGGAGCAGAAAAGAACAAAAAGATAGATTTAGATACGGATCAAAGTGTATGAAAAAGTCTGTGCTTCCTTCTCCTAAAGGTTGCTGTTGGGGACATTTGAGGGGTTGTCCCACATATTTTTTAGGAGCTTGGGGGCATCTTCATGTTGTTAAATGTTTGGTTTTAAAGTTATCTAGATTTGACTTGAAATGAAATTGATATGTGGTTGCACTTCTTATTGATCTGCATTACTAAAACATGCTGGCAAACTAGTTTAAAAAAAAAAAAAAAATCTCTTTAAAGTGGACCTATCATGCTATATTTGAATAATATAGTGTAGGACCATACCTATATAAGGCATATTTATACTTTTTTTTTTCAAAATACCAAACAGATCATGCATTTTAGCCATGCCTCATTTCGCTCAATTTGAAAAATGTTAGCTCTGTTTTTGCAAGGGTTGATTCTGTGAGCAACAGCACCATCTACTGGCCTGGCATATGTACTACAGCGTCTCCAGCGCTTTCTAACGGCAATGCCGTGGTTGTCTCCTCCTGATTGGTGGAGTTGGCCCAATAGCCGTAGCGCCACCGTCCTGACGTCAGGACAGTGTTCAAATCTGGATCAGTTTTGATCAGATCCGTTGCAGCCCCTTTTTTAGAGATTTGGGTATGGAGGAAAATAGAGAGGGTTGTGTTTTCTGACACTTGGTGAGTTCCCTGGAACACCGGGGACACATATTCATGTATAAAAGACGTACAAAAGTGCATTTTGCATGATAGGTCCCCTTTAAATAATCAAAGAAGGCGCTTGCTGGTGAACTTCTAATCTAGACGAACCCAAGCAGAAACAAGCTTTGTATTTTCTGTTTCTTCTTTGATTCATATGAAGCTAATGTTGTATATAAACACCCAGTCATTAAGACAATTATTGAGTACAAGTCAATATTCAGTGACTGAGAGTGTGATGCTTTTGTGCACTGCCTTCATCCGCTCTGCCTTATGATCGATGAGGGAGCCATTAATCAACAAAGCACATCTGACAACAGCAGCAAACACCTCGGAGTCTAACGAGAACCTCAATATCGCTGCTAGTGCTGACTAAATAGCTCATAAAACGTGAATATTCCACACTTCTCAGAGTGGAAAACATTGATCTTGGTGCTCTTCTTCTGACTATATGCGGGGAATCAACTCTGAATTATAAAGTCCTTAGCTGTATGTATCAAGGTTAATACTAATTTATTTATAAAAAGGTAAAGCTGTTCACTTGTTGAGGCACAATGCAATTCTTGTCAAGGGCACATTGCCACACAATCATTGCTTGAGTACTAAATGAAAAACAGAGCACAGAGATCATCCATCAAAGTGTAGTAGTAACATCATGCAGATACATGTTTCTGCATGACTTTCTTTTCAAACTTAAATCAATAAGATTACTTTACGGATAATGCATGATTGGACACATGATTACTTTTATAGATTAAATAAACGCCGGCAGATGCCTTTTTCATTTTTCAATTAGCCAACCAATTAGGCACAGTGCCCTGAAGGAGTGTGTATGAAACATAGACGCAGGTGACCCAACCACTGCGGATCTGATTGCGTCTAACAGTATTTGTTCATCTAATTTACAGCCCGCTGGCTTTCAAGTATCAGTGCAAATTGAAGAGAAATGTTCATTTAGTTGGTCACAGTTAGCACAGTATTTCATCTAGGTTTTAAGCAGTGTTCAAAACGTTGTTTCAAACATATTAAACTAATATAAAGACACATGTATTTATATTATAACAGAGTATGGTTGTGTGTTACATTGAGACATTGCATATGAGACACCATTGGATTGTGTGTGTGAGACAGGATTATGACAATGTGTTTATGTGTGCGTCATAGTGACATCCAAGTATGACAGTAAGCCAATTACAGCGGCCTGGGAAGAAGGACGACTCAGGTGTCAATGTGTATATCACGCCGACACAATTACATACGAATAAATCAACTGAGATTATCCGCATTTCCCTGTCTTGCTCATTCAGGATCATTAACAACTCCAAACAAAACTTAAATATAACATCTATAAACCACAATAACTCATATGATCTTTATCTATCACACATATATGACATACTCCTCTATTTAACAATAGTGATTCCCTTAAGCGATCAGCAGCCTGACAGTGCTGACTATTGCAGTTTACCTGGGCCGTGTCCCCAGCGTAAATCTCAGGAGCCCACTGGCGGGGTCAAATTCATTTCCTGCACCTCACATGTGCCCACCGGCGAGTCGGCGACACACAGGAAAATGAGTGCAAACAAGTGTTACTGCTGTTCAATATCTGTACAACTGCACAGGGTCAGAGAGGCTGTGAATGAAAGGTCACATTCTAAGAGGGCGTGTGTGTTTTTGTTTAAGTAGAAACCAGGTGTATGTATGGAAAAATGTGTGTATATGAGAACGCCTGCTTCTGTGTTTATCAGCATTTACAGAGCTGCTACCGGAGGGCATTCCACTCAGACATTTACATGCAGGCACCCAAGCATTTATACAGATGTCTGTGTGTGTGTGGGGGGGGGGGGGGGGGGAGTGCGTGTGTGTGTGTGTGTGTGTGTGTGTGTGTGTGTGTGTGTGTGTGTGTGTGTGTGTGTGTGTGTGTGTGTGTGTGTGTGTGTGTGTGTGTGAGACAGAGAAAGTTTCTTTAGCCCATATCATCCATCATGAAGCGAGACTAACTGTCATAGTGATAGTGTCCAGCTGGCACCCACTAGCCTCAGACACACACACACACACACACACACACACACACACACACACACACACACACACACACACACACTTGACAAGACAAATCACCGATGGCTTCTGGTCATACATGAGCATAAACCACGGGGAGCCGGGAACATTTAGGGTTATCCTTAAATCAGCCCCAGGGAGTCCATGTGTAGCAGAATTATGTAAAAACACACATGTCGTGTGTGTGTGTGTGTGTGTGTGTGTGTGTGTGTGTGTGTGTGTGTGTGTGTGTGTGTGTGTGTGTGTGTGTGTGTGTGTGTGTGTGTGTGTGTGTGTGTGTGTGTGTAATGTGGGGGGAAGGAGAGACGCAACAGAATTCATGCTGACTAGACAAGGTGCATATGGGTGCATCTTTAAATGAGTACATTTTTGACGTGTCTGTGTGTGTGTGTGTGTGGCTTTGGTTTGGAGATGTATCGTAGCTAAGTAGATCTCACTTTCATGATAGATTTGGGGGTCAGAAGAGGAGGGTCTCGCCTGCTGTCCAATTAAGAAGAAGTGATTAAAATACTGGCAACAGCAGAGACAAAGGAGAGAGAACAGAGATACTGAATAAAAAAAAATGAGAAGAGAAATAAAGTGGAGTGGAGGAGAGAAAGGATAGTTCCTGTTAAACAAGTCATCAATCAGGTCTCTAAAGTAGTGATTATTATGGTGTGGTCCGGGGCCCTCTGCCAGGGGGGCTCTTAAAAGAGGTTTTGTTATTTAAACTATTGGGGTTTACTTTGACCCAATGCGAATATTTCAACAAATAATATTACATTTTTAAATCCTTCATAGTTAATTCTATAGAAGAAGACTATTCAATAATAAAAGAATTAGGCTTTGTTAAAATATTCCAAGGGACATACATGAGGGGGGCCACGACTCCCAGGTATATTTTCTACATTGTAAAGGGTCCTTGGCTGAATTATTTTTAGACCCCCTGAACAAAACCACTTTATTTGAAGGTAAAACAAAGTGACAGTGATACCTGTTTTGCTGGTTAAAATACCTACTACGGTAAGCACAATTGGTCAAAGGTGAACCAGGTAGCCAGTCTGTTTACTGGGATGCTTGGTGTTCTATGAGGCTGCACTAAATGCTAACCACAGCATGCTAACAGGCCTACAATGACAGTGGTAACATGCCTATGTAAGCCATTTTAGTTTAGCTTGTTAGAGTGCCAATATTCACTTATTAGCACCAAACATAAAAAAAACTTGCTGAGGCTGATGGGGAGATCAAATGGTTTGCAGGACACTTTGAAAATGTTGATAGCATTTTAAAAACCATTACAGTTTTTCCTGAGTGTGACATTGATGTGTGTGTACTTAAAATTCATGGCAATCCACCCGATAGTTGTTGAGACATTCCACTAATACAGTTTCAAAGTCATGGTAGTGCTACGGGAAAAGTCATGAAATCAAGTGATTAGGATTTGTCCACTGGGCACTGTAGATATCGGTACCAAACAAATCCATCAAAAACAGACATTGTCATTGTATGCCCTCCCATACACCATGATTATCCTTTAAACTAGCAGTAGAAGTGAACGTACTGTAAAGCAGAGGGAAACAGACCCTACAGAGGAAGAAGGAGTAGAGAGTATCTGCCACATGCAGCTTTCTGGCAGATTGACTTATCAGCTTCTAACAGTCTGATGCAATTCTTCCTGAGCTGAGAGAGTGTGTCAGCGTGTGTGTTTGTTTCTTTGTCTGTGTGCTTCTCTGATGGATCTCCACATGTGGAAGGCAGCATGCTGAGAGCAGCAGCAGCTCTGCTCTGTGTGGAGCATGACTCTGAACCATTTCTCCTCTCTTCTTTCACCCCCCAACTCCCTTTTCTCCTATTCTCCCTTTACATCTCCACTCTCACCCCCTTTCTTCCCTCACATACTCCTATCTACTACAGATGGCTTCATTTCTATGCCGCGGTGGGAATCTTTTTTATTTCTCACTGCCTTCTCACTCTTGACTCTCTTTCTCTCTCACCCTTTATGCCTCCAGGACCTCTCAGCCCTTTCTGAGTCTTATCTCCCATCATCTCTCACTATCTCTATTTCATCTATTACTCTCTCCTGCATTTCCCACTCCAGTTTCCATTTTCCATTCTTCTCTTCTCCCATCACTGCTACACCATTTCCTCTCACATTTTCTAGCCTCAGTCTGTCACTCGCCTGAAGCAGCACTGAGAAGGCAGTTTAGCAGATGATAATTGCTCTCGTGATACATCTCATAATCTTCTTTATTGCTCATGGTCTCTCTCTCAAGCCAATTACTTTGATCTTTTACACAGGGGTTCAACACACCTCGGGTTCATACGGGGGTTCTTTGTGTTATTAGGGTGGGGATAACTTGTGGTGTCCGATAATGAGAGAAAGGAAACCTAGGTACATTCAGAGCTCAGACACTGAGTGATGTACAGTACATACAGGATGCCTGTTATTTCGCAGATAAAACTTCATCATATGCCTATAAGGAGTAATTCAATTCTAAATGTTTTGGTCATTTAAAAAATCTATTTCCCGTTGCATTTTAAATTACTGCTTTTCTTCTTCTTTGCTCTTTTAAATTAGGTTTTCTTTGTTCCATTAAATTAGCATTTTAAAGTCCCCTATTATAATGTTTTTCATTACTTTATTATAAGTCTCAAATATATACAAAACATGTCTCTGAAGTGTTTGGCTCGAAATACCAAACAGATCATGTATTGTAGCATCCCATAATCCCCTCTGTTTCAGCCCTGTTTCAAAAGTGCTGATTCTCTGTCTTTTACTTTAGATGAAAATAAAGAGCCACTCCCCACGCCCCTCTGAGAGATATTTGGTTAAAAAGAACACAATGGCCGCTTTCACACCAAGTATTTTGCCGTACTTAGTTCCCAGCACTTAGTTCCCAGCACTTAGTACCCCCATGGAACTAAGAGCCGATCGCGTTCACACCGGAATAAGTTCCCTGAGGGAAGATTACGCAAATGAAGCCGCTGACGTCACTTCTTCTTCTTCTGCTTTGGGTTTACTGGCAGGCCGCAAACAACTTCACGGCGTATACTGCCACCCGAAGTCCCCGGCCGGAAGTCCCCGGAGTTGGGGACTGGCTTCTACTGAAGCCTTCCGAGTAAATCGCCAGAACGCCGACACCTCCTCATCACTCCACCGCTCCAATGTTTTTTTGTGTTGCCATACGTTATTCTCTCTCCGTTGGTGCGCGGGGCTAATGCTAATGCTAATGCTAATGCCAGCAATTACAATGGCGGCTTCAAAAAACTTTTCCGAGTTTTACGGGGCGTGGTTTGCAATTCGCCCAGCCAATCAGAAATTGGAACTTTTTTCTCCCATGAAAGTACCACCTCTCTAGCAGGCACTAAATAGGGGGTAAAAGTTCTCATGAACTAAGTTCTCTTTTTGGTGTGAACGCAAAATCCCAGGAACTATTGGAACTAAACGGGAAAAGTACGGGGAAAAGTACTCCGGTGTGAAAGCGCCTATTGGTGCTCTAGGAGGAGATTCAGGTGATAAGGTGGGGGGTGTTACCTTGGTTGGTTATTGGCTAATGGTTACACAAGCCAAAAAATCGTTATGACATCATAAAGTGACCAAAATCTGATCAGCTCACAGGTTTTTATATAAATGGATCAGGACAAAAAGTGAGATCATCTTTTTTCCTGAAACTTTCAGAATCTCTTTGCACAGAGGGGACACATGTTTATGTATAAAAGACATGAAAAAGTGGATTTTGCATAATAGGTGTCCTTTAAGCTGCACATCTCCTCACCTCTCCATTGTGCAGCCCAGCGCCGGTCATCCCATTCATCACCACTGGCTGGTTGTCATTTTCATCCAGAACCTTCTCTGGTACCGGGGGGGGTAAGTCCTCCTCTGGTTCCTCTACAGGCCTGTGGGGGGGCAGGCTGGCGTTATCAGAGCGCCGTTTGGCCTCCAGGTCTGCGCTGTGGCGGCTCTTCTTATTCAGGTCCACGGAGGCGTACTCCACCCCAGCGCATAGGGGCCCCCGCTCAGGAGTGCAGGGGCTCAGGTGGCCGTTGAGAATTGCGGGGGGGTGAGTGGTAGGTTTGTCTGAGCTCAGCTGGATGGTACCGTTGGGGAGGCCCAGCTGTGGGGGGGGCTCTTTGAGTTCCTTCACCGTCTCGTACAGGGAGTCTTCCACGCTGACGTCACGTGACGACACCGCCATCTCCTTCACCACCTGGAGGTCAGAAACAAATAGAGCAACAACTGTTAAGATAAGATATATTTTATAGATCACAGTTCAGGAAATTATTTAAAATTCTTCATCAATTAATAACTTATTAATATGTATTAGTCGCCTGATCGTTTGGTCGATTAGTCTAGAAATAATTGCCATTTAATTTGTTTGTTTTTTAATCGTTTGCGTAGTTTTTCATCCAAAATTACAGAAAATGCTGTAGTCGGTCTCTCAAATATGGAGATTCCTTGCTTTTCTGGGAATAATATCGAAATTAAACTAAATATCTTCTGGTTTTGGACTGACAAAAAAGACCTTTGCACTTTGAGAATTCTCCATTATTTTCCAACGTTTGAAACACCTAATAATTAATCGATTAATCTAGAGAATAATTGGCAGTTGGATCGATCATTATTTTGTTTCAGCCCTGGATTTATGAATTGAGTTCGATCCAAATAAATTAATCTACCTTGTGAGAAAAATCAAATCGAATTCTCTCTGTGTTTTGACCCTGAGCTCAATCAATCAAACGATCAATCATCAGCCGATCAGCGCTTTAATCTTCTGAAACAGCCACATTCAAGCCGAGTGCAAGTAACAGCATGATTCTGCTGTAGTGAGGTGACTTTAAACATTGACCTCATAGGTGCAGTCCCCTGAGGCCGGGGGTCCCTCCCCAATAAGGCCATTGTTGGGAGGAATGCTGGGAAGCTCACGGTCCTGAGGACACTTAGAGGACCTGAGCTCTGATTGGCTGGAGAGCATCTCCTCTGATGGCTGGGGACTGTTGTCCTGTGTGTCTGAGAGGACTGGTGGGACAGAGAAAAAAAAGAGAACGAGTGAATAAAAAGCTTCTCGTTTGGTGACTAAATGTGTTTTCTTTTACTGATATTTAGTTAACATACAGGAGAAAATGACAGAGAAAGATTACACATAAATAGCCATAAAAAACAACAGCTGAGGTTAAAAATGAACCAAAGCTGAGAGTCAACAAAGACGTTGCACAACACCAGCTGCTAAGCAAATGTTAATGTTATGGAGCTAAATTAAAAATGATGATTAAGGATAGCAGTGACTAACATCAATATCATAGAGTTAAAAAACGTCATGAACAACGGAGAAATGATATGCCACGCTAAAGCTAACTGTCTTGACTTACTTGTACCGCTGGTTAAAGGACCATTGTGAGAGCTACTGACGGCCAAGTCCGTCGCAGGACTGTCTGCTGATTGGCTGATCGTGTCTTTCTCTGACACCTGCACAAAATGGAGAAGATGATTGTCATTGCAGGGCAGAATGAGCGGACCAAAGTGAAAGAATGTCAAGTTTATTTCGGTTTCACATCACACCAAATGAAAGTGTGCTGAGTAGAAGTCAGTCATAGAAGGTATTTTGTTGGGGAACCTGTGTAGCTCTGATTATAATTTTTGTCTGGCTTCCCTTTTTAATAATGTCTGCTTTTTTATAGCGTCCTCTCACATGCCTTGTTACTTTAAGCACATTATCAGTATAGTACACATGCTTCATTAAATGTGGAGTATTTTTACCCACCTACAGTACAAAAGACATTTAGAGAACACTAACCATTTTTGTAACAAAGAAAACTGATGTATGCATTATGGAGGCACAATATGTATTCCTATCTCAATTGATAATTGTAATTGGGCTTATGAAAAACAACAGTTTATAAACCTTCTATATACACATCTAGCTTTATATTTTTGCTGTCACTTTTGTTCATTAATAAGAGACACTGAAACATAGTCAGAATGACGGAGGAGGGTAAACTGACAGGCATTAGCAGTGTTGCATGTGTAAAAAAGATAAACCAAAAAGGACGATTTTTTGAGGAAATTGAGCGATTTGATTCTGTATATTCTCTTCCCTCCCTTTTGCAGGAAAGTCAAAGCTGCAGAACAACAACCCTGCAGTTGGCAGGGATTCCGTTTTGCTCAAGGACACTTCAGCAGAGTCGTTTTTTTTACATTGAGCTTTTAAACCATGTCCTCCAGTTGAAGGCTGTTTCTCGTTGGATCACAAGGCAAAATCAGCAAAGTGAGCTGCAAATAAACTACACGAATCAACACACATGCACTTTAAAAAATAAACCTTTTAGTCTGCCTCAGGGAAAGGTATCCCTTCATCACTCAATAGTTAGAGCTGAGGGAAAAACTGTGACATTGTATTATCGCAGCAAGTCACGATTCTCTTTGTTAAGGTTGTTGTTTTCCTCCTGTGTGAGCAGTATGCTGTGAATTAGAAGCTCTATAACACCACCTATTGGTCGATTACTCTCATAACTACTGGGGTCCATGATGTCATCTTTTAACTATTTTATGACCCTAATGTCTCTATATTTTTTGTTTTTTCCATGACAAAGGGTGGGAAATAGTTAAAAGATGATGTCATAGTCTCAGCATCTTTCAGGTCCCATCTTTTGTCTGACAGTTTTTACAAAAGTAGTGCCAAAGACATATCCAAATATCACAGGAATTAACTTGTTTTGTGAGGGCACGACAATCCATGAATTTTCTCGAATCTTTTGTATGTATGGGATCTTTCTGTAATCACACACACGCGCACACGCGCACACGCACACACACACACACACACACACACACACACACACACACACACACACACACACACACACACACACACACACACACACACACACACACACACACACACACACACACACACACACACACACACACACACACACACACTCTTATCCTGTCACTTCCGTAAGTGAATGCCGGGCATTTGTCACACTTAAATGTTGCTTGGTTACTGAAGCAGAGTATTATGGGAGTTGGTAATAACTATCTGTGACATGATGTTCGAGAGGACATAGTGAGTACATTATGAGTAGTGCGAACATAGAAAGGGCAAAGGTCAACTGTACAAATAATGAATATTCAGTTTTCTAAATTGTTTTATTGAATTGACTAAAGAAAAATACGTCCATACCTCAATAATATAACTAAAGTATTCTAGAACGATAGCTTCAAAAACATTAATGGTTACTAATGATGATGATTGTTATGCATATGTGAGAGAATGTGTGAAGGTGTACGTGTGTGAATATGCGTGTTAATGTTCACACGCATGTAATTATTCATCTGCCTGACACACTGCAGCAGTCAGACTCAAAACACACAGCTGTTCCCCTCTGCTTCTCACGTCACATATAAACACCCACACAGAAAAAAATGCATCAAAAACAGAAAAAACAAAACTTCATGAAAAATGTGTGTTATTTGTCAAATCTGCCCTCTATGATGCTTCAACCTTGCCTTTAAAATCTGCCTTTAATTTTCGTTAAAGGAGTAGTTTGACATTTTGGGATATTTCCTAGTCTTTGGTGGTTTCCTGGGACTAAACAGGTGCATTTTAGAGAAGTAAGTTGGCTGATTGTGTTACTACTTTACCGAGCAGGGCTAGCTGATTAGCGTCTTTTTGATGTAGCTTCTAATGTAGTTTGTCAAGAAAGCAAATAGGTGAATCCATTAAAAGGCCAAAACGTATTACTTTAACATCTACTGTTCATGCATGCACTACTATTGCAAGCCTTAACCTGAAGTTCAACTCACTCCATTCATGAGGTTCTGGTGGTCTCCTGCTGAATGTCCACTGACCGCCTTCTTCTGCCTAGAAAGAGAACAGAATGAAAAGATGAGAATTTTCTTAATGAGGGATAGGTGTCGAGTAATGGCAGAACACAGAGGACACTAGGCAGCCCTGAAAGTGATATTTGTAATGTTAGACTCATAGTTTGCATGAATCTAAAGGAACATTTAAATGAAGCTGTTCATTTCCTCGGGTCAGTTTCAGGTCTGGGTGTTATTCACTGTTCTGACTCATGGCTTGACTTTTTGAACAAAATGTAAATTGTCCTTGGAAACATTTCTTATTTTCTTTCCCTGGACCCTCAATGAAATACTCTTATCTCCTTCCATAGGCACTACACGTGACATTATCGTCTTCACATCCTTGTTTATATATTAACAATAGGGCTGTCAAGTTAACGCGTTAATAACGCGTTAACGCAAAAAAAAATTAACGCCACTAATTATTTTAACGCGATTAACGCATGTGTATTTTTTGTCCTCGGCCGCCGTAGTTTCAGAGCGCATCGAGTGTAAAATACCATCGACAAGCTGATGCTGACAGCCCCGCTCCTGCCGCCCGCTTGTGGCAGACCACACTTCCACGCTCACTGGCAGGCCCGGAATGGCCATCGGGAGGACCGGGAGGGAGTGTGTATGTGTGGCGCGACTCGCGCGAGCGAGGCACACCTTACGTGTTGTTGTTGTTAGCATCTGGTGCTAGCTAGCTGCGCTAACGGATATAAGGAGCTGTTTCAATGACATTTCGCCGACAACTGCGCCGAGCACTTGACTTTATGCAGGGCGAATATTTGTAATGTTCAGAGGTTGTTGTGTTTAATATTCATGAGAATATTTGTCATTGTTCAAATGATAATAAACAAACATATAAAGCATATTTGTCCACTCATATGTTGATAAGAGTATTAAAAACTTGAAAGATATCCCTCTAAGGTACATTTAGAACAGATAAAAAATGTACGATTAATTTGCGATTAATCGCGATTAACTATGGACAATCATGCGATTAATCGCAATTAAATATTTTAATCGACTGACAGCCCTAATTAACAAACATATCTGGGACTTTGTCTCTTTTCACATCTCGTAATGTTAACCATGGCACTTTTAAACATCACAGCACTTATTTTAATTCAAAAATAATATACATATTTTTTAAGTATATTCTAGATTTTATTTTGTATTTAACTTATGTTATGCACCAACATAACAAGGTTAATACCTTGAATTTGATAACCTCCTTGGCAATAAACCAGATTCTGATTCTAAATTCGAGCACTGACTCATTATTGTTGCATTAAAGCCATAACGCCTCTGAGGACTTTCAGTAATGTAACTCAGCAGAAGTGCTCCTAATGGTTGCTGCAGCACCTATAATGATGACTGTAGCTAAGAATACCCTCTAGGGTATTTGTGCTATTTTCAACACGACAATGCACAGCTGCCATTTTCCACCAAGAGTGGATTCTGCCTAAATAGTTGACTGCATATGAAACCAGTCGGCCATTCCTAATGGTTTCTAACAATACCACTACAATCATTATATTGGTGAATGCTGTTAATGTATATGTGTGTGTGTGTGTAAATGTGTGTGTGCATGTGTGTGTGTGCTCACCCCTGGCAGCTAGCACACAGCAGCAGCATCACAGAGACCAGCAGCAGGGTGGCGAGGGTGCTCAGGGTGACAACCAGGACCAGCTGCCCGCTGCCCAGCCACGACGCCACCCCGGTAGCAGCTGCGGCCCCCGACCCCACGACCCCCGCCTCCGGCCCCCACCACACTCCACTCAGCACCGGAGCCATGACGCATCACACTGTGGGAGGAGAGGACATCGGACAGGTACCGGCTGGGGAGACAGAACACATATGACAGACATGTTCAAATGTGTAATTTGATTTCTTTGAACACCCACAAAACTAAACTTTTTACCAGCTCGCCTCAACAGAACATTTAGTTTGAGATAAACAGTAACAGCTTTGAGCAGATGGATCTTGTCTAAACCCCACATTAAATTCCATTACGTGGGATTAAAAAGGCAGCAAAACAATCCGTGTGTTTTAACTGCGTCAGCACATCCTAAATGACTTTGTGATTCGAATCCGTCCAATTGTGAAACATTTATTTTGGTGCAGCTGCTTTATTGCATGAAACTTCAATTTGCATCTACAGCCAGTGAAACCCTGTCCCTGCTATTTGGATCAGATGACTCTTTAACATTAACTGATAAAGATCTAAGTACAATAGCTGCCCACTGCTCCTAGTACTAGGATGGGTTAAAAGCAGAGGTCAGTGTTGTGTGTGCATGTATGACCAATAAAGAGGGTTTCATCCTCCGATTCTATCTTCTATGTTTAATAATAATGCCATATCTTCTGTTATGTGCAGCCTTGGCCAGCAGGGGGCAGCACAGAGCAGAGTCAGACTGCAGTGCAGGCTGGGATCTGCTCAGTCTGCTGCAGTGGCCCTCACACCCGAGCCTCCACCACTTGTGTCTGGTCTCTGCGCAGTGCATAAGCAACCTCATCACGTCTCTGTCTGACAACCTAAGTTGGGTCTCGGTGAGCTGATGTTATCACGGCTGATTTATGGGGCTGTGTGGTGTTGCGGTGGCACACGTTGAGGGGAGGCAGTGGCAGCACGGATGAGCTTTTTTGCTACTCTTAGTCGTATAAAAACTCAGTGGTTTCAGTAATGTGCATGTGATAGGGGGCAGACATTGAGGAGCAAGAGTAAAAGAATGATTCAAGAGAAAAGGTGACATGCAGATTGATTGACAGTGCATCTATCCAGCTGCTCTTATTTGCATGGCCTTCTATTTCAATCAGCTGACAGGCAGTTACAGCAGATCTGTCAAGGAATTCGATGACAGTGACAAAAATGTGTCAATCTATTGTTTCCTTGTGGCATTTGTTACCTTTAATTGGCAGTTTAGAAATAAGGAATAGAGATGGGAGGGGTTTGACATGCAAGACACCTTTGTGGGAACATGGCATGAACAGTTTTGACTCAGCTACCAATGTGCTCCCTCATCTCATGTTGTTCTGCCGTGTGTATGAGCCAAACGTGTGTGTGAGAGAACAGTGTATTTAGCGCCCGTGGTGAAAAACTGTGTCTCTCTGCTCATGCTAATGCGACCGGGGAGAGTGGGGCTTTTTGCTCTCCTCGGATTCTAGCAGTGAGGAAGTTTTGCAGCTAATGAGACGGAGCTGCAGAAAAAAACAATTTTAACTTTTTCAGAGGGACACAGAGGAATTCCTGTTTCTGTTGAAATACTGATTTGTTTTTCTCCAGAATGAATATACACCGCGGCTCATGTTGCAGTGGAGAACACAACCTTACCTTGACACCTGGGATGATTGGTCAGTTCGGCCTCGCCTGGAAGAGAGGAGATAAAAATGAGAAGGGGTGGATTAATGTTTGGTGCAAGCTGAATATTATCCTTGGAAGGAGGGAGGGGGGGGGGGGGGGCTGTTGTGTGTGTAAGTGTGTGTGCACATGCATGAAAGTACACTGGGCAAGTGTGTGTGGGAGAGCAGCCAGGGACTCGTGAGTATGTTTGTGTTTTTTAATACCCATATCAAATAAATATTGGACAACAGGCTGCCTGCAAGCTTTCAGAATCTCTCTCACACACACACACACCTTAAGCCATGTACTGCATCCTCAATATTCTCTCCCACACACACAATGTCCACTTTATTGACCAGTCTGCCCAAGTAACTGAGAGGATAATAACCAGGTGACATCATCTCCAAATTGTATCATATAACACATGATGGTATTGACTGTGCTCTCCGTTTCCACACACACACACACACACACACACACACACACACACACACACACACACACACACACACACACACACACACACACACACACACACACACACACACCACACACACACACACACACACACACACACACACACACACACACACACACACACACACACACACACACACACACACACACACACACACACACACACACACACACACACACACACACACACACACACAGAGTCCACAAGCGTATTGTTAAACCTCTGGATCTTCACTTTTTGTACATTCAGATACTTTCTAAAACCTTCATGACCTTCATCTCACAATTTGCTGTCATCAGGTCTTCCAGCTTTATCACGACTAACATGTGATCGTTTATTTTTCTCGTCTGTGGGGCTCGTGTCCAGGTGTCACTATCTGCCACTTTGTGCCAGCTTGTGTGCGTCTCTGCTGGCACTTAAACCAGAATAATTACCGGCTGCCACAGCACTGTGTCTCCATGGCAACATTCCTTCTTCCCATCAGCGCTATTTATGGTGGTCGAGAGAAAATCTAAATCCACAGAGATGTTTTGAATGCAACTCATACTGAGGTGCTGTGGTCTTGGTTTGAGGGTACACATGTTTTTAGAAGATGATGGAGTACAAGTGGCTAAACTTCAATAATTTCAAGAAAATTATCTCAACTCAGGGTCCAACATGTTGCTATGTAGTCATTCAGTTGTCATGGTGATAGTTTAGTTGTTATCATGTGAGCAAAGTATGGTTATTAATTAATGTGATAACAGGTGGTGGTATAGGTGGGATATCTTAACCGCTTGCCATTATGCTAACTTATGCTTCCTCACATCCCTCTATGACCCTGAAAGCGTTCCCCTCAGCATTCAAGGATGTTCTCCGAATCTCTAAAACACACCTTGACACCAAAATGAAGAGAAAGAGGGGCTTCTGAACGAGCTAAAACAGAGGAGAAACCAGTGTATCTAACAGGAAAGCTGGAGGTCTTTGATCAAGTAGCTTAACATCAACACAGAACGTTATAATTAATGAATGTCACTTAAGACTAACATTATGAAACCAAGTGTTTATCATTTAGCAGCTCTGGGTCCTCTGTCCTTGCATAGAGAAGACACAAGGACACCAGACACGAGGAAGGGAAGTGAGGAGACACGTTGGCATGATGAAAAGCACTCTAGTTTGCTCACTAGTGTCAGAAACAGCTTTGGAAACAAAAAGTCTGACCTTGTGGTGAAACTTTGATTTTGTCAGGACCTTCTATGTTACAACAGTTGAGTTGAGTTTAGTATTTATTATTTCATAACACTGCAAAAAGCGTTGTTACATTTATAATGACATGAACAAATAGAAAAGGGGGCTCTCTTTGCATACGTGAAGATGCAACAAGTAGTGATGATATCTCATTTAATATGAAAAGTCAACTCTGCCACATTAAAAAAAAACTCCACCATCTCTACTTCAGTGGTATGAAGAACCTGTTAAGTAGAAACCCAGATCCAGCTCTGGATAACATTGCTGACATATTTCCCAGTAGAAAATATGTGTGGCGTGAACTACAAATACTCTCCTCTGAGAACACACTCCATTCCTAAAAACAACTTGATAAACACCACTTAAAAACAGTTCTGAGTATCTTTTTCACTGTGGAAAACTCCTCACAGAGCATGTGATACGAGATACCCAGCCAAGGACTACAACTGCTCTCTCTTATGCTGTCATTCTCTTTCTCCCGGCGCTTTCAGCCTCTGATGAAAGAAATCAGGAGCTCTGGAAGAGAGACAATCGGTGTGGCTGTCTTGTGTTTCATGCCATAGAAAATAACCGCCAGGAAAAGCCATTTGAGAAGGAATGTGTTTTGGGGGGGAAAAAAAGGCAGAAATCCAAATTCTACCCTCATCCAGCTGTACACACACACACATACACACAGACTAAGGACTAACCACCATAACCTTCCATGCAAGAAAGTAGAGCCAAGGACGGAGTCAAGGAATCCAAAGTGATCCCTGCAGCTCTACAGGCAGAACCCTACCTGAGAAGCAGTGAAGCGAAGCAGTCAGAAAGAGCCGCTCGTATGTGTTGGACAACAGTGAAAGGAAGAAAGAGAGTCTGAACATCCAAAGGGAAGAACAGAGCTCCACTTTCTGTGGACGCTTGTGTCTGCGTGACACCTCCCTCTGCAGGGTCCTCTGGGTGCACACAGACAGGGAAGGTTTACAGCTGGATGGCTGCGGAGAAATGAGCCCCAGGAAGCTTCTCAGAGGAGAGCCAGAGGCATTTCCACAATAATAAATAATCCAGTTTTTCTGGGAGAAACTTTCTTTAAGCAGCCTTGCTTGTATGGAGCTGCAGGAAGATCTGAGTAACATTTCTGAGACTATTGTAGGAGCCACATTTGAAGTATTTTTCTGTGTTTGTTACGGTACATGTTTTTGAGTCACGATAGGTGGTGGGCGTGTCATTGAATTTGTGTGGTGACGTTTGCGGTTATATCCGGTTGCTTTTACCTGCGCACTTTGTGATAGATGGAGGGGGAGTGAGCTGGAGAAGGACCATTTTTGTTGACCGCACGCACGCACGCATAAAAGAATATACGCATATGGATTGGACTATTGAATGTTTGCTTTGGAAATAAAAGATCAAACGCATACTGTTGGAAAGACTACGTTTTTGCGCGTCCACAGTGTTTTTTCTCTTGTTTAGTCCCTCGCTGCACTTTGTTTGGAATATTACTGCCGCAATAACTATTATTAATGAGTAAGGGGGAAAGATGACTAGAGTTCATTCCATAAGCACATTTACTTGCACAGAGCTGTTGTGTAAGCAGGATTTATTGTTGCAAAAGCATTGTAAGCAAATAAAAGGCTTCTTTAGCTGAGGTTATGTGGTCTCTCAGGCAATAATGCATGCACATTCAAATGAAACCACTTATATACAATATTTAGCTCTGCATTGTCAAAGCACAACCCAACAGACCTTGTGAACACAAACAACAACACAGAACCCTGCAAGGTCTTTCCAACCCATTAAAGCAGAAAAACAACTTCTTCGTATAACAAATCCCTATGAATAAAGACAAATCAAATTCAATGCACAAACAGTCCTTGAAAAATGGCTTGTGGGGGTTTTGCGTTGGTCATTATGAAAACAATCTACATGGATGCATCACATAATAGACACACCACTGACCATCTTGTGTCCTAGACCGGAGGGCCATTTGGATGATGGGGGTTGGAGAAATGGGGGAGGGGAGAAGAAGGATAGGGGGACTGTTGCCAAGAGAGAGGAGAGAACGGGAGATAAAGAGAGAGGGGGGTGGGGGGGGGGGTCATGAAGATGTTCAGAAAACATAAAGCAACCAAATAAAAACAGACAACAATGAAGAAGGAGAGGGACACAGGGGAAACACCACACACACACACACACACACACACACACACACACACACACACACACACACACACACACACACACACACACACACCACACACACACACACACACACACACAACACACACACCACACTACACACACACACACACTACACACACACACACACACACACACACACACACCACACACACACTACACACACACACACACACACACACACACACACACACACACACACACACACACACACACACACACACACACACACACCACACACACACACCCCCCCTTGATGAAATATAGCTTCCCACAGGCTGCAGTGCAAGAGGGACCCTGCCCTGACTGAGACAATACAATACAATCACACACACACATCCGTGCACACAAAAACATCCAGAGGCACGGCCATATCTGCTCATCTGAGTGCCTTGTTACAAATAAAGAAACCCACAAGTTTCAGTTCATAAATCTGTCTGTGTGTGCGTGTGTGTGTGTGTGAAGCCCGAGGCCGAGCATTGTGTGTCTAATTTACTAATCACTGTCTGTGTCTGCATGTGTGTACTCGTGTGTCTGGGAGCTTGTTGCGAGCAGGAAAACAGGTGCCTCTGATCAAGGGACATCATTTGTGTTGCCACGGCAACGCTGCCCATCCTAAGGGTTAAATGGTTTTAGCGTGAGAAATTGATCCATCCTCCCTAAATGGGGAAATTGAAACTGCATAATTCAGCAAGCCGCTTAGTTCCCTCCCTCCCTCTCTTGTGTCACAGAGATGTGTGTTTTTATCTTCATCCAGTTGCAGGATGGGCTCCTCTCTATTGCAACAGACAGGAGCTATATTTGTTAGCAGCTGCAAGCATTTATATTGATCTCCATCTGGGGACCTGTTATAAAGAAATATGAAGCATTTTCCCGCCGAGAAGAATCCCTTTTTTGAAGTTTTTCATAATTGAAAGACATTCAGAGAGATCCAACAGCTGCTTCATTCTTTAACATGTGGTTGTGTTTTCCTTTTCCTTTTCTCGCACGCATATCAAAACATTCGGTTGGTGAACTCTATCCTCCAGTCCAGCCGCTGTGATAAGTCATTCAGAAATTTCAAAGGACGGCATGGTGGTCTCGTGGTTCACCGAAGAATTCAACCTTCTCTTTTCCTGAATCCTTTCCCAGCTGCAAAGCCTCAGAAACAGAAACATGTGTCTTATGTCCTTAACATTTAAGCTCTCTTCTCCTTAAACATGTCTCTGTCCTGTCCTGACCTCGCAGACCAATCACTGTCCACTGAGGGTCTGTGGGTTGGTCTAAACAAGTGTGTGTGTGTGTGTGTGTGTGTGTGTGTGTGTGTGTGTGTGAAATCTGCCTCCAGTTAATGTCACACGGCCCCATGGGAAAAGAAACATGTCCCGTCTTCCGTCCCCTGATGTCGAGGACACTGATGGCCGTGAAGCCTTGGGTTGCCTGCAGATGTTTTTCCGCACAGAAACGCTACTGAACCAGAAACTACTGTATTCAAATTGGATGCACACAAGGCTTCAACTCAGCTGCTCTACCGCCTCCAGCAATTGCTTCTCCAACAACAGTTTGTAAAATCCGAAGCTCTGAATATCAGGATATTTCGTGACAAATAAAGGATGGTAACTCTGTTTAAAAAATGTATATATGTGTGGTATGAATTGCCATTTCCCCCCTCTTTTTCCTGCTTTATCTACCCTCTCTTTTTTGTCCATGCCCAAGGCTGTTGCTCTGCATTTAAATCATTTGGACCTGATTCTGTGAGCGTTTGTTCAACTAAGCTCAACAGTGTGTGACTGTGTGAGGCGCTGACACACTCTGCAGAGAGAATACTCACTCTCTCAGCCACACACACTTAAAGCCTTTCGATTTCAGTTCCTCCTTCCCTCTTCTTTCTCTCTTTCGTGAAAAATGGCTTTCTCATGCTAGCTTAGTGGCGTCTTCCTTACACATGACAAATCTTTCAATTTCAACTCTATTTCACAGACCCTCCTCAAGAACAGGAAGTACTGTGGGTGTTAAGAGCTTCACCCATCAGTAAAAACACGAGTGTCTGCAACTCCCAAAACCACGACTGCCCTCTTGATTTGACAAGCAAAAACGGTTGCTTAGCAAGCAAACATCTGCAAAATTGAAATATAACAAACTCAAATCCCACACAAGACATTTAGTTATTCACCACATCCTGACATAGCACTTTTACCCCCCTCACTACAGCAATCTCAAAATGATTAGCTTTATGACGGCGGTTGCTGCTCGGCTAATAATAAAATGCTGAAACAAAGCAGACCTCAGTAATTGTTCGCTAGAAAAATGTTCCGTATGCGTTCCCTTGGAGCCGGGGCCTAACAAACCAGCTAGGCATGTCATCCGAATATGTAAATAGAAGCGCGGGGCGTGAAAAAAAGAGATGGATTGTGGTACTGATTTCAGGGTTTGTCACATGCTTTGTAGGTGACCTTCTCTGCAAACACTTTGAAGTGTTTGAACTGTTGAACTCTGGGAATTTGAGGATGAAGAGCATGGACAAGGCTGCAAGTGAGCGGGCTAACAAAGGTGTGTGTGTGTGTGCGTGTGCGTGTGTGTGTCAGATTGTGTGTCTGAGCATGTGTGCGTTTGTTTGTCAGTGCGTCATTTTGACTCCTGCTCTCCAGCTAAATTGATACTGAACTTAAAAAGAGACGGACCTATTATCTTAAAAGAAAGTACTAACAAATGCGCGCGCGCGCACACACACACACACACACACACACACACACACACACACACACACACACACACACACACACCACACACACACCAACACACACACACACACAACACACACACACACACAGCACACACACACACACACACACACACACACACACACACACCACACACACACACACACACACACACACACACACACACACACACACACCACACACTACACACACACACACACACACACACACACACACACACACACACACACACACACACACACACCACACACACACACACACACACACACACACACACACACACACACACACACACACACACCATTTCATTGTCACCTTGAGATGAAGATTATTAGAGTGAAAGGGGAGTAGATATGACCACATCATTATTCGGTGGCTTTGGCCTTTCTGTGTTGAATATCTGTCAAGATAAAGGGATTATCAGGGTGGATGGAAGAGGATGAAGGATGTTGTGTGTATGTGCAAGGTAATTCATACTAAAAGCTGTTAATGTAATGCAACAGATGTCTGGAGACGCTTGATCTTGTTCTTGCAAACATGCACCAATAAACATAAACAACATAATCATTTAGAGAAAAAGACACACCCCTGAGCTGTGGAGGCTGCGCAGCATCACCGCTGCTCTGGAAATTGCTGCACAGCACTTCATTTATCTCTTCCTGTTACACCAGCCTTTTGGACAAAAGGCACAGGGCAACAGGCGGAATTGATAGAGGTGTGTGTGTGTGTGTGCGTGCGTGTGTGCAGATGAGCAACTCAAATGGAAATGTGATCCGTCTTTACAAGGCTCTAACCACAGCAGGGGTGGCTTTATTAGACGACCCAGACGGGGCGAGTGGCGGGGGGTCCGAATCCCTTTGTACCCTCTTTAAAGTCGCACCATATCACATCATGGCCGTGCTTGAGAGGGAACACAAGTCTGGTTTTGCTCTTGTGTGTGTTATTCTGAGGAGGGGTTAAGGAGAGAGGATAGATGAAAAAGTGAAGGAGTGGATGGAGGCTGAGGCGTGCTGATGAGGCTTCTGACCTTTCAGCGAGAGCCATCTTTCAGACAAATACTCCTACTGGCTGGGATGGTTTAATATCACACACATACTGAGCATCTTCCTCACTATGTTACATGGTTGATGTACTTCTTCCCCTCACATTTCACTCCCAGTTTCCT